TGCGTCGGGTCCGTTGCTTGGTCGACTCCGGCGAGATCAATATCAAACGAGGGGTGGAAGATGAGTATACCATACCTGTGGTGACAAATGGCTGCAAGGTTGTCATTGCTGCAATCGTGAAGACAAGAAGCTGAGCGGGTCAAATTCAAAATGCACTTGTTGATCAATGTGCGGGCGGTTCAAACTCTTGTATGTCATCTTTAGAGACATATGACTCAACGAGACCACTTGTTGACTTTCTAACGGTTTGTCTGCTGAAGCTGCTTTACCGCACAAGCCTTCGATCGGAAACCAAATCCGAGATTCTTTTCAATCTGACCCCTTCGGGGGCTGGCGGGAGCCGTGAGCCATGATCCCAAATACCCCATCCAGCTTGTCATGTCACAAGCCCCCCGTACTTTCTGTACTTTATTCTGTTTTGCGCTGGGCTGTACGACCCTCTAGCTTTAGAGGTGTAGTCGAGGCGAGGCTGATCCAAACTTCCCCACCTAGGTTATCTGTGCCAGGTGTTGCCCCTGATCCTGGGAGTGTTTTGCTGTGTTTGGCAACCTCGACGGCTAAGTGGAGTACCATGCATCCATGTGGCTAGCGGCAGAGTCATCGAAGGGCCGGGGCGCATGAGAAAGTTCAGAGGTCGCTCCGAAGTGTCAGGGCTCAGGTCCCCGAGGCCCCTCCAAACCGCAAATTACGGGCGAGCAGTGGCTCCTCTTCTTCTTCAGGCTCAGGCTCATTCTCCTGTTGTGTCCCGCAAACCTCAGTCATCAAAAGACTCCGAGAACATGCTGCTGCACACAGTAACTTCTCAGCAGCTGGGAGTTTAAAAGTCTCGCGTGCGTGATATTGTGAATTGTCCCAGGCCTATATCCCCGAACAGCTATACCAGGCGGCCCCTTCATCGTGCATTTTGCACGCGGGGAGGGAGTGTATGAGTTTCTGGAAGATGCATCACTGCGGCCGCAGGTACCATCTTTTTATAATGTACGTCGAGGGCAGATCCACGTAGATTTTCCGGACTTCGACCGGTTTACGAAATTCAACCAGGTGACGTGCACGGGGGGTCGTCGTACTTAAGTTGCGGTCTGTTGTCACTACAGATCTGCACGCATATTCCTGGAGGTCGCGAGGCACAGCCTGAATAACATGCTGCTCATTACGTCATGGTTTGTTGATGATTTGCATGCTCAGAGTATCGTTTTGCACGTGTTGCACAGTGTCGCACTCAACGACGCAAGCACTGCCCCTAATTTCAAGCTACGGATCGAGTTGGAGACGGCCTGTGCGGCTTTTCAGAGCGGGCTCTCAACACCCTTCGATTCAATCTAGTGCTGAGGGCACAAGACACATGCAAATGTGAGTTCTTCCCACAACAAAGTACGAAGACTACAATCCCAAATCAAGAACAAACACCCAAAAGCTGGCACGCAAGCCCAGAAGCCTACAGCAACCGCCACAAAATCAATTTTTGTTGTGGCATGTTAACAATGCTCCCAATCATCATTGCCACAACTGTCGGAGGGGCAGCTCTGTGGATTTCTGCGCGACTTGATGTGAATGCCAACTGATCTGCTTCACCCGCAACGACGGCAATGAAAATACATCACATAATCAACCTGAACGTCATGAGATGGATGAAAAGCACGCTGCAATGACAAAGTCGACAACATGACACACAACATTTAAGCCGCGATGGAAATCGAAACCAGTCTTTGTCGCCAGAATCCTGATGGCCGACGGCCTTAAGCTCGAAACAGAGGCACACACGCTGGTGAGTGTGTCTGCCTCATTGGCGGGGCATCGAACCACTCCCACTGGTGGCTGAGTAGCAGAAGTAGAAGTAGAAGTGGAAGTACTTGTACTTGTACTAGTACTGGTACTACTACTACTACTACTACTACTCCTGCTACTACTACTGCTACTACTACTCCTACTCCTCTGCTGCTGCTACTGCTACTGCTACTCCTCCTCTGCTGCTGCTACTGCTACTGC